GGAGTAGAGGTGAGAGGGCCCCCAGGGCGGGGAATGAAGGCCCTGGATTCTGCCAAACCCTGAACTCGTGACCCTGGGCCTGTCACTTCCTCTCTTTGGGCCTCAGTTTTCTCACAGCATGGGCGGATGAAGGGAGGCGCAGCAGGGGAGAGCAGCACAGGGCCCCACATGCTCAGTTCTTTCTGGGTTACACTGAACAAGCCTCTAGAATGTTCTCAGCCTCATCCACACACACTCGGAGCTGGAGCTCAAGACCTCAGAGGCCACGCTCCTGGGCGGGGGTCAACCTGGGCTGCCTTGCCTGGCATGGATCAGGAGAGATGCTGCCGTCACCACCACTATGAAGCGTTCCTAGATTTCTTCCATGACACCTAAACTCTCAGTGTGGTGTTAACCCCTCCCTGCCCAGGGCCTCGCTCACTCATGCAAATTTAGAGGCAAATGTGTTGTGAACTTAATGAAGCTTAAGCTTCAGCCCTCCCCCCACCCCACCACGGCATGCATAGCCCGCTTCCAAAGTCCTGTTCCTAATTCTGTCTTTATGACCCCTTCACACTGAGTAGGCTTCAGGCCCACAGAGCTGGGACCCACCCCTACTTTTCTCCCTACTCAGCTTGAGGCCCCAGGGCCCTTCTCTTCCCTCAGGCAGCATCCCGGTGACCCCTGCCACCTGGGCCAGGCCTGGACAGACAAGGGCTTCGGCTCAGGGTCTCCGGGCCTGTACTTGCCCCACCTTCAAGGCCAGCCCCGCTCAAACAAGGGCTGCCTCCTCCTCCCCTTTCCCCCACACCTGCCCCGACGGGGCCTCCGGGGAGCCCTCCGGACTCCCACAGCTTGTGAACTCCCAGCTCACAGAAGAGGCCTGGGTTCGAATTCCGCCCCCTTCTTGGCAGCTGTGCGCCCCGGGGGTGTCACCCTCCTCCCATGAAAGGGCTTGCCTAGCACACACAGGGTTCAGGGCAGGCCGGTGGCCTGGGCCTGTCCCTCACACGGCCAGGTCCCTTGGATGGGCAGCACCCCTGTCAGATGAACGCCCCAGACCCCTCCGCCCCCTTGCTCTGGCCCCTCCACACGCCCCAGGGAGTCCCGCAGAAGCTGAGGCTCACCCCATGGGCCTCTTACTTGCTGAGAGAGCCGCCTGTGAGCCTCCCAAGCTCCCTCGGAGGCTCCAGATAGGAGCCTTCTTGCCAGGATTCTGTTTCAGTTCCTGAATTTTGGGGTCACTCAGACTTCCTCAGAAGCCAGCCTGGGCCCCGTCTCCATCCTGAATCCCGGCCAAGACTGGACGTGGTGGTTAGGAGGAAGGTGAATGGGGAGGGAGCGGGGGGGGGGGGGGGGGGGGGGGGGGGGGGGGGGGGGGGGGGGGGGGGGGGGGCGGGTGAGGGGCGGCCTGGGGACACAGGGACTTCTCCCCAAAGGCCGAGGAGGCAAGTGTGTTCATCGTTCCCTCGTCACAGGGCTGTGGGGACAAGGTCAAGTGCTCAGAATAGTAAGCCCTCAGCAGATCGTGGCTCTCACCTTTGGTGGCAACATGGGGGGGACACGGAGCCAACCTATGGAGCCAAACCTCTGCGCGAGGCGGCCATTGCTGAGCCACCTACCTGTGTGCCAGGGCCCGGAGATGCGGCGGCTCAGGCAGAGCTCACAGACGTCCCTGAGGCCTGGCACTGCCCCTCGGCTGTCTCATTAGGAGCCCAGAGTCCAGGCCGAGAGCAGAGAAAGGTCCGAGCGGATGGGGTGCTGACACGTGGCTGTTGGCAGGGCCTGGGCTCCGGTATGTCTACGAGTTGGTCAGGTCTATCGGTGTGACCGTATGAATCCCCTCACTGACTCTGTCGCTCACCATAAGCTTCCCAACACCCCCTCCGAGCTTGGCACGAAGGTGTGGTTGTTCAAGGCCTCGGTCGGGATTCCCCAGCTGTGTGACCCCAGGCAGGTGTCCTGGCCTCTCTGCAGGGATAATGTCAGTGCGCTCTTCTCAGAGCAGCGCCGGCCTGTAGTCAGCTCTGCTGGATTATCAATGATCAATGATCGTCCACGGGGGGACAAATGGGGACGCTCCGATTATCCAGGGTAATCCCGCCAGGGGGCTCCCACTTCCGGGGGAGACAGCAAAGCAAGGTGGGGAGTGCAAAGATGGGGCTTGTCCACCCCTGCCCCCAGGAGTCAGCGAGGCTGCCCAGTGGGGCCAAGTGGGCTGGATGCCCACATGGATCGTGATGGTAGAAGGTGAAGGGAGACCCTGGATGTGGCTCGAAGGCACGGGCAGGTGTGGGGGAGGTGGTTGTAGAGTGCGCTGGGTGCCCAGGGGTGGATGAATGTGAGACCCTGGGAGCCCAGACCTGCTCCCTTCTGGCCGTGACCGGTATCTCTGAGGAGCAGCAGGTGGCGCTCCCGGCCTGCCCAGCCCCAAGATCTTCCCTTCTCCCCACCCCCTCGGGATGTCAGGAAGAGGGGCTGCTGCTTCCAGAAGTCTCAGAACCCGCAGGAAGCTCTGAGCCCCGCTCCCTGCCCACCCTGTGCATGAAGGTTGTCCTAAGCTAGTTTTTGGAGCCTTGCATGCCTCCCAGGACAGAGAATTCACTACCTCTCAGAGTAGCCATCTGGGCCACTGCAACCGTTCACACGTCCCTCCTTGACAATCGGCTTCTCTTACTCTCCCACCCTATGGCCTCGCTGGCTCTGCCCCTTTGGAAACTCCCAGAACCAGTCTGTTCCCTGGCCTGGTCTGCAGCTGGGCGGTGACTAGCCCGAGAATCAGGTCCCTGACTTTACAAGCATCATCCCAGCCACTGCCACCGAACCCCAAGCGCAACGGCAGGGAAGAGCTCACGTAATCACGACCTGCCACCTGCCGCTGAGCCTGACACACAAGGGCACTCGATTTATATTTGGGGAATGAATGAACCCTGTGTGGTCATTATTTCCAGATTGCCGTTGGTAAGCGAAGGCTCAGAAAGGGAGAGTTACTCCTCCAGCCTCGCACTTACAACTGGCGGGACTGAGATCCGCCCACCCCAGAGCCAGTGCTCTTCGGATCCAAGCTGCCAGGCTGTGCTGTCTCAGCCGAGCACGGTCCCCCAGGCCCCGCCAGCCCCTCTCTACCCACCTCCCCCAGGTGCCCGTGGGTCAGACTTGGGAATAGGATTTCCAGAGGCTGGGACTTGAGAATTGCTAGGGAGTTTTGCATCTCTGAGTTGGACCGTTTCCCTCCCTTCCTGTCCAGGATCCCTCTGCCAAAGGGCAGCTAGCCTGGTCTTACGTACCCCTGGGGACTGGGCTCCCCCTGCCTCTTAGGGCATGACTTCTAATTCAGCTCAACCTTATGCCGAGCCGACGTTTGTCCTCTGGACCTGCTCCCCAGGGCCCTGAAGGACAAGTCCCAGCTCCCCCCTCTTTCCCCGACACCCCACATTATGGCTGGCACCCCAGACTCTTTTCCTCTGGGCCCAACCCCCACCGTCTCCCCGATTGGCTCCATTTGTCCTGGTTTTAGTTCCTTTTTCCTTGGGGGAACTGTCCCAGTTTCAGCTCAGTTTGGTTCCTATTTCCTGATAGGCGCCCCGAACGGGGTGCCGGACACAGGGGCAGATTGCCATCGTTGGTAAATAAACTCGCCTCTCTGGGCCTCGGTTTCCCATCTGGGTGGTGGAGACCCGGACAGCACCTGCTTCATGGGGCTGCTGAGAGGGGAGACGAGACAACCCACATCCAGTGCTTGGCCCCACGCCGGCCTGTGATCAGGGCTTAATTCATATGTGCTCCCCCCTCCCCCACCCCCACCGCCTGGACCAGGTGAGCTCAGGTGAATGACAAACGCATTTATTGAATTAACAAATTTGTATTGAGCTCCTGCTAGTGTTGGGGACACAGCAGTGAACCAGAGACCCTGACCCTGCCCTCCCGGAGCTCACGTGCTTGTCGGATGGGGGTAAAGGCACTGGAGACAGGCCAGGCAGGGCACTGCCACTCGGGGACATGCGCCTCACACCACCTGCACTGCAGGAGGGGGGCCTCCTTTCCAAGGCGTGAAATGAGTGTCAGAGCGCGGGGGCCACACAGCTGCTGGGGGAGCAGCACCACTGCAGGCCCGGCCCGCTTTCCCCCTGCAGATCCAGTGACTCGGGCAGAGGCCCACAGCCCCCGTGTGCGCGGAGGGGACACTGAGGCCCAGAGAGGTCCAGGCCTGGCCGCAGGTGTCCGGAGGAGAGCAAAGCCCCTGGACCTGGGTGACCTCTGGCCCGCTGTGTCGACTCGCGTGGGGCTGCTGGTGGTGGGAGTGATGGATCCTGGAAGGGCCACGTGAACGGCCCCCTTAGGGGGAAGCCGCTAACGATCACACAAATGCCACCCATCTACTCAGACCCTCAAAGGAGCCAGGCCCGTCCTCCCGCGTTCCCACGCGGATCCTTTTCTGCCGGCGCTCACCACCGCCCTCGGAGGCGCGTTCTGCGGGATCCCGGCGCTCCCGACCCGGCTCGGCTGGCGGCCGCTTTAGTCCCGGGTCGCGCAGCAGCCGCAGCGGCGGGGGCCGGTGAAGGCCCCGGGGCGCGGGGGGAAGGGGAAGGGGCGGGGAGGGGGCGCAGGGCCCAGGCAGGGGGCGGCGGGGGCGGGGGGGGCGGTGGAAATGGTAACGGGGCCGGCGGAGTGCGGGGGTCCGGGATGGGGGGGTGGAGGGGCGGGCGGGGGCCGCCGCTCCGGCCCGCCCCGCCCCACGCCCCTCCCCCCGCTCCGCCCGCGCTGGGGGCGGCCCGGCGGCGGCGGCGGCGGCGGCGGCGGCGGCGGCGGGAGCGGCGGCGGCGGCGGCGGCGCACGCTTCCTGCGGGCGCGGCCGCTGTGGGCGCGGAGCTGCGAGGCGGAGCTGGGCCGCCGAGCCGGGAGCCGCCGAGCCGGGAGCGCGTCGCTCCAGCCTCCGGGCCGCGCCGCCGCCGAGCAGCCGCCCCCCGCGCGCCGCCGCCGCCTCGGGAACAAAGGCGTCCGCCGCCGCCGCCGCCGCCGCCATGAAGCCGGGGCCACCGCACCGCTCCGGGGCCGCCCACGGGGCAGGCGCCGGGAGCGGGGCCGCGGCCGGGCCCGGGGCCCGCGGGCTGCTCCTGCCGCCGCTGCTGCTGCTGCTGCTGGCCGGGCGCGCCGCGGGGGTGAGTGACACGCGCCGGGCCCCGCGCCCCCGGGTCCCCGGTCCCCGGCCCCCAGCGCTCCCTCGGCCCCGCGCCCCTAGTCCCCCGCTCCCCCCACCCCCGGTCCCCGCGCCCCCGGTTCCCGGCCCGCCGCGCTCCCAGATCCCCGCGCCCTGGTTCCCCGGTCCCCCTCGTGCCTCTGTCCCCGCGCCCCCAGTCCCCGCACTTGGCACCCCGGGTCCCCGGTTTCCCCCGGCCACACACTCGGTCCCACGGCCCCGCACCCCTCGATCTCCAACACGCCCCCAGTCCCCCTCCCACCCCGGGCGACTTCCCCTTCCTCAGGCTGGCATCGTGTGGGGGGGGGAGCGTCCCCGCCGACAGCCGCCTTTGGGGGCCCGCTCCTCCTTGCTCTCGGGACCCCTCCCCAAAGGCGGCCCAGCGGGAACCGGCGCGCGGGTCGTGGACACTGTGCCCCTCCCCAGTGGCTCCGCGGGCGGAGCCGGGCCCCCTGTCCCGGTGGAGGCGCGGGGCGGGCCTGACTGCGGGCGAGGGGTCGCGGGGCGCGGGGCTCCGGCTGGGTGTGTCGTGGGTCTTGAGCGAACGTGGCTTTCGCTTCGTGGGTGTGCCCACACCGCTGCCACTTTTAGGGAATTGGGTCGGTTCTCCCTGGGGCAGGGGCTGGGGGGTTGGGTGCGTTTGGTTTCCCCAAGGATCCCTGTGGAGAGAGCAGCGGGGGGCCTGAGGAGGGGAGGGGTGGAGGGTGACTTGTGTGAAGGTGACCTGAGGGGCTGAGTGAGGGTGACCCTGTGTGTATGAGCACCCCAGCGAAGGGTGCTGGGGCCTGTGGGCTGTGTGCGGGAGAAGGATGAGGGGTGAGAAGCATCCACCACATGGCCGGGTGCCACCGTGTTTCCCCTGAAGGTGCGCCGATCCTGGGGGGGTGACCTATTGTGCTCGCGGTGTGCACCAGGGACGGGGCTGGGCAACTGTTGGCCATGGCTATGTGTGCCTGGGGGAGGGGGGCGGTGGTGGGTGTGTGCTTGACCCCACGGGAACATGTGTGTGCCTGTGTGTGCTCGTGGATGCATGGGTGACCCTGTGCCTGGGGTGTGTACCCTTGAGGAGGGCAGCGTGTAGGTGAGTATATATGTATGCAGTGACCCCTTGAGCGTCCCTTTGAATGACCACACAGCTGTGGGGGTGAGCTTGGCCGCAGCTCCATTAGGGGGAGCAGAAGGAGGTATAGGAAAGAAGGGCCACTCCTCCCCACTTTGAGGGACCCAGGTCCCCAGTGAGTCCCCCTCCCACCCCCCCACCCCCCCCACCGTGGTTACATCTGGGGATGAGCTGGAAGTTTCCAGGCCCTGTCTCCTTGGTTGGTTCTAGGAGCTATGCCGGCCCTCCTTTCCTGGGTCTCTCCAGCAACCGCCAGGTGCCGACTCTGCCCTTGGGCGTCTCTTTGGCCCTCAGTTGGCCAGTCTATAAAAGGGGAAGAGGACAGGCTTAGAAGCTGCTCCTTGGACAGATGGGCTACTCATCAGCCTTCCCCACCTGGGGTCTGAACCAAGGGTAGAGAGAGTATTGAATGCCAAGCTGAGTTCAATGTCTGGTGGGCTGGATGCCTCCTCCCTCCTTCCCACCTGCGCCCCGCCCCGCCCCGCCCCCAGGTGGGGTGAGAAGTCCCTGGGAGGGACAGGGTCCCAGCCCATACTAGCAGCTACGTCGCTTTCTCAGCCACGCTTCCGGAAGAACAATTTTGAAATCAAAAACGTGGTAATAGCACAGCCTTGGGTTCAACTCCTGCTACTGCCATGGATTCATGGGGTGACCTTGGGCACACCGCCTCTCCTCCCTGAGCCTCTGCGTCCCCCTCCGTGAAATGGGGCTGGTAATGCCTTCCTCAGAAATGAGATGAGATGGTCTGCGCTCCTACACAAGCAGGAATGTTCCCCGGATAGAAGAATGAGAAGGGGTGCGGGGCAGGATGCTCTATGCTTGGAGGCCCCGCAGGACTTGAGCTGTACGCCCCTGGGCAAGTCCCTGTTCCCTGCGAGCAGAACAAGGCTAATATAATTCATGCCCCATAAGGTGGTGGAAGGAAGAGAGGAGGAAGTCTACTGTAGGGCTCAGTGAGGCAGGGTGTCCCTGACCCTGAGGGTGAGGGGGGTGGGTGTGGTTCAGAGCCAGAGCTGAGTGGCAGATAAAGCCAAGACGGTGGGCTTGCCTGGGAGGCACTCCAGATGATGAGGGGAGATGGGGAGCCCCTCTTTCCGCGCCTCACATCTTCCCACAAGAAGCATCATCCTATCTGGCCCAGGAGGCGAAGGGTAAATGGATGGTGCCCAGCTGCCAAAATAGAGGGAGAGGGTGATGCCTGTGGCAGGAGGGATGGAGGGGAGACCAGGAGAGCCCCGCCCGGGTGGCCTTCACAGTGGGGTCCTCTGAGGACACCGCCGGGTTGGGCAGCGGCTGACTAGGGCAAGGGAGGGACAACATGGCCCCTGGGTTTGCCCACCAGCTTGAAAGGGAGCGTGTGTGGTCGGGGTGGGGGGTGGGGCCTGTGGGGACAGCGGGTCTCATTCACATGCAGGTGGCCAGTGGGTGGCTGGCTGTGTGTCCTCTGGCATCTGCTTTGGGGAGTCCTCTCTCCCGAGAGACCAGGTGACTAGGATTCTGAGGGACATCTGCTTTCAGGACCACCTCAGTCCCTACCCAGAAAGGCTTGGAGGGTGGCAATTCTGGAAGTGTTAGCTTAGAAACACGTTTTTGTTTTGTTTTGTTTTGTTTTTTAGAACCTTGGGGCTGGAAGGGATTTTAGGTGTCCCCTCATCTTGTTTGAATATTCCCAGTGACGGGAGTTCACTACTCTGTGGCTGTGTGACCTTGTGAAAGTTACTTTACCTCTCTGTGCCTTGTTTCTGAAACCTCTGTAAAACGGAAAATCACAACCATCTAAGTGGTTAATGCAGAAAGCTAGCACAGTGCCTGGCTCACAGTAAACGCCCACCAAGTGTTGGTTTTGTGTTCTTTTGTAAAGTTGTTATTCTGTGCCTGGGAGTGTGGTGGGGGTGGGGACCACTGGGAAGTGAAATCAATCAAGGAAGTCCTGTTGTGTTTTTTTTTAATGTTTGTTTATTTTTGAGAGAGAGAGAGACAGCGCATGAGCAGGGGAGGGGCAGAGAGAGAGGGAGACACAGAATCCGAAGCAGGCTCCAGGCTCCGAGCTGTCAGCACAGAGCCCAATACGGGGCTCAAACTCATGAACCACAAGATCATGACCTGAGCAGAAGTTGGAAGCTTAACTGACTGAGCCACCCAGGCGCCCCTCAAGGAATTCTTTTGAAGCCGCACCCCCAGGCCTGGTGGCTCCTGCCCCCTCACCACCCCCACTGTTTCCGGTCCCAGAAGTCCGTACACCAACGCCCCCCACCCCGTCCACCCTGCGCCTGGGTTGTCAGAGCAAGATTGTCCTCCCTGTAAAAATGAAAAAGTTGGGGACCCTGGGCTGTTTGAGATCAGGCCCCGACACAGGGACACCGCAGGGGCCTGCTCTCTGTTTGCCCCTAAGGGGGCAGGGGCTCTCAGAACAGACACCTGCAGCGTGCCTTTGAGTGAGGGATTTATTTCACTTTGTTCATCTGCAAAATGGGGACTGTAACAATGCCAACCTCACAGGGGGCTGGCTACGAGAAAATGAGCTCCTGGGGTAGATTGAGCACTTCAGCACAGCCTGCCTTGTCCTGAGCTCTCAGCATGTAGGGTCTTTGCAGGAGGGAGCCCAGAGAGGTCAGAGAGGGCTTCCTGGAGGAAGAGGTTTTGAGTTATGCAATAAAAGTGGTAATTGCGTGGCATGGAGCAAGCTGTGGCCTGCCTTGACCCCAGGCTCTCAACTGGAGACAAACACGTACAGGACTGCTTTTGGGGGTTACAGCATCCCCATGGCAGAATTGGGATGGGGGTGCTTCCAGCTGCCGAGTCAGTGTGTTACTGTCCCCTCGCGTTGAGGGTTGCTGTGGGGTTGAGCTCTGCTGTAGAAAAAAGCACGCTGGCCTTTTGAAGACAGATGGCTTCTCAACCACAGGGAATGGGACGTAGGTTCTCTGGCCGCCACCCCCCCCTCCTCCCCGGGCAGCACAGTTCTGGCTTTGGGCTCTGGAAGATGCTGGGGCATCAGTGGGGTGGGTGAGAGGGGTCATCCTGAAGGGGAGAAAGAGGTGGAGACAGAGACCCCCCCCCGACCAGAAGCCAGGCCTCCCTCCAGACCCTCCCATTGGAGCTGGGACCCCCCCCCCCTCCAATCCTCACTCCAGGCCTGGCTGCTTGAAGGAGAGGGATGGGTCATTCTAGAAGGGGCAGCAGCAGAATTGCGGCGGGCTGGAGCAGACTGAGGCAGCCGGGGGTGGGGATGGGGCTGGGAGGCAGTGAAGTCTCCATCTGTCTTTGCCATCCCTCCCCACCTCCGCCCACGGGGAGTGTGGGCAGGCTCTGGGGGGTGGGGCGCACCGCCCCCCCACCCCACCCCCGGGCTTCATGATCGAAACAGCAAACTAGTGCTCCCTGGAAGCCCCGCCCACTCTGCACCTGCTCATCTTTGGAGGTGGGAATTATGAGAACCTGCATCTGGCAGAGGCACAGGGAGGTTAAACTACTTGCTCACTGTCACACAGCCCGGAAGTAGCAGAGCTGGATGGAACCAGGGCCTGGCAAGCTGGAGAGCTGGGTGGCCATCCTGCTTTTACCCCCTCCTGCTCTGTGATCTGGGGCAGGTTCCTTCTCTCTGGGGCCTCCCTACCCCCCAGACTAATCCCATAATACTTCCTGTCTGCTAAGGGAGTGCTCTCTGCCAGGCTCTGGGCCAGGCCTGTCCCCCATCATTCCCCTGTAATGTTCCCTTGGCCTTGGAGGCGAGGGACAGTAACCACATCTTGCAGGCAGGGCTGGGGTCTGGGGGGCTTACCCAGTGCTTGACTCTGGAGCCCTTGCCCCTCGGCCACCTCACAGGCCTCTGCCATCTGTAA